AGATTTCGTATATTTTTTACCTGTGTTAAATAAAGCACTAAATACATAAACATTTATATATGAATATGAGTTTGTGGGCATTAGCTATATTTGTAGAAGCTCTTTAAGTGTTATCAATATTGTCAGTTTTATTAAAAAATGTTACTCTATATATCTCTGTTATTTTCTAACTTTAAGAAGTATAACAAAGTTTCAATACCCTATGGACTGATAGTAATATTTAAACATGATGTATCAAAACAGCAGTGGAAAGAGAGAAAAGTTATTTTCCCAATACTGCTGTCTAAATACAACAAAAAGTATTGAGCATTACATACAAAACATATATGAGACCTGAAAGGTTATAGGGAGAAGGCAGACCATCCAAGAAGTCGACAAGGAAATAGGGTATTCTTTAAGTTTTCTTTTTGCCTCACAGCTCTAAGATTCAGGAACAGCAAAGCCACAAATTTAAAATGACCAATAGGAACTGTCCAAAAGAATCTCCACAAAAGCTCATTCCTGCTGGCCCAAGAACAAAGAAAGAATACATCAAAACAGAAAAAGTCTGCACGGCAACTACTTTTTACTAACCAATCAGCACTAAAAACAGTATAGTCCATCCTGCATCATCACCAACTAAAGCCAAGTGAGAGGCTTCCAATCTTGTCAAGTTGTAACAAAGCATCCAAGGGCCTTACAACAGGGGCCACACAGGGAAACAGGAGCCTCATCCCCTAAACACACACACACACACACACACACACACACAGAGGAGACCTACCTTAATAGAAACTCTGGATGTCCATCACACCTCCAGATGGTAAGAAGTAATCCATACTGGGATCAGTGATGTTACCAAGGGAAACCTAAATTTTATTCCACATCTACCCAACCAGCAGTAAGAAAGTGCTCTCTTCTATCCCTTGGGTACCCAAAGAGGTCATCCCATTGAAAATAAGGAATCAGTATTCCGTTTCTTTCAAAAGCAAGAACAATATCTAATTAAGCCAGGTAGCAAAAAAAAATAGTTAATAAATAAATACATTCTACATAATCCTAAGGTGCAAAGAGGAAGTCACAAAGTATAAAGCATATTGAACTTGTTGCTCTTCCAGATACCCAGGGTTCAGTTCCCAGCCTTTACATGGCAGCTCATAAGCATTCTAACTCCAGTTCCAAGGGATCTGGCATCCTCTTCTGAATTTAAGGGTATATGATACACTTACATGTGTGCCAGAAAAATCAACACATAATAAATAAACTATTACACACACATACACTCAACTGAATAAAAATCAAAATACATTATGAAAATGAAATAGCATTATTCAATAATTTGGCAAGCAGATGGATAGATAGCTTTGTAAAAGTAGTGTGGCTTTTTGTTATTGATTTGAAATAAATTTGATTCACTAATAAATCCAACAGAACATATTTAATCAGAAGAAATAAAAAAAAAACGAAAATACAAATTCCCAACTCTGTGGGACACAAGTAAAGCACTTTCTCAGAAAGGAGATGTTGCAATTTATATATTAAATGTTCCCATAAGCATCACATTTTTTGTTTAAGGGAAGGACAAGGATAATTTATGGGAGTCAATTCTCTTCTTCGTATGTATTCCAAGTAAAGAACTAAACTATGGTTGGGCTTGGTGACGAATGCGTCCATCAGCTGAGTCATCTCACACATCTCCAAGTATCATATTGTAGAAGCTTGGTCCCCAGAGGGCAGTACTGAGAGGTTCTATAAACTTAAGTGGTGTTCAGGACACAAGGAAACTATGAAATTCTCTCTTCCCTGCCTTTCCATCTCCTCTTCCCCTCTGTCCTTCTCCTTCCACCCACTCCCAGACTTCACAACAATGAGGTGAAGAGCTCTGCTCTGCCACACACTCTCCCATGTTGTACTGCTTTAATTAAAATGATGAGCCCAAGAAGTCTTGGGGTTTTCACCTCTAAAATCATGCATCAAAATGAACCCTACCTACTTATAAGCTATTAGTTTCACTATTTGCTACAGGGGCAGAAACTGGGACGTAGAGACGGGTGGCTTTCCAATTACTCATATCTCACTGTGGACAGGCTTTAGAATTGCTCAACAGGTACTTAGAGAAGGAGTCTCTATCCTTGCTATGCATTTCACACGTTAGAAAAGCCATTGGACCGTCCTATCTATTTATTTGCTTGTAATTTTCTTTTTATCAGACAAGATCTTACTACAGCCCTGGCTAACCTCAAATTCATGGCAATCTTCTGCTTCAGCCTCTTAGTGCTGAGATTACAGGTGTGTGCCACCATGCCGGAAGACAATCAGGCTAGATAAAGCTTCAAGTCATAAGCCATGTTTAATACGTAATTCTAGAAAAGGGCTCTGACAAGAATGCTGACTGTGGAGGTTTTAGAGTATGAGAGTATGGTTGGGATCTAGATTACAGGCAACTCTTTTTAAACAGTCTTGCTTCAGTCGGATTCCTTCTTCCAAGTCCTCTATTCCTATTTTTGGTGCAGGAATGTTTGCTTTGTGCCTTTTATACCATGGTATCAGAGAAGCTGTAACAAAAAAAAGTTTTGAATTTAGACCTTTGAGCAATGCTGAACAGTTAAATCTAGGGGACTCTAGGGATGTACTTTGCATCTCAAATGCAGTAAAGTCCCATGTATAAAAGTTTGCAAGATCTCCAGTTTGGTGGAGAACCTTTTAGTTTCGTAGGCAGGAGTATTCCTAAGAGAGATTTTTATGTCTGCACTCCAGAAGGCTTATAGGATTCTGGTTTCCTCCAGTTCTCTTTCAGTTCCTAGCCATGAGATGAGCAATTTTGCTCACCATGTCATCTGCCATTGTGACCCCCCACTAGAGGACCAATAGGCACAGGTCACTGGATCATGGACAAGAGCCTCTAAAACAATGAGTTGAAATCAACCTTTGCTCTGAACAGGCTGATTTTTCCCATCTATTTGCTGTGATACTGTGATGCTGCTTTTAAATGAGAGAGAGCTCATTTAAAAGAAGTCTCAATAATCTAACTTCCTACCTTAAGGAACTAGCAAAATAAACCAAACATATGCAGAAAGGAATTAAGAAAAAGCAGAAATCATTGACTCTAAAAAGTCTAAAAAAAAGAAAAAGGAAAGGAAAGGAAAAAAGACACAAATTACTGAAACAGAAATAGAATACAGAAGGGACTATCACCCTATCACCATAAACCCTACAGATATCAAACTGATCATCAGAATGCTAGAACTACACTATACTACACACACATCTAATTTAAAAATATTGACTAACTGTAGCTATGAGAATATTTCACACTTAATTCAAAGATTTCCAAAAGAACAGTCTGTAGTTCCAGGCCAAAGAAAATGATTTAAAAATAAACTTTTTTCACGTCTTTCAGAAACTAGAAATACCTAATCAATTCATATTTAAAGGTAGTATAAACCCTGAGAGTAAAAACACACACACACACACACACACACACACACACACACACACACATCCTTAGCAAATCCTACGCAAACAGAATTCAGCAAGAAATACTTTTAAAAGTACATGATGATACAAGGGGTTTCCTGGTATTGGAAAGTCAAGTGATACATGCTCTTTGGTAGCACATTTATGAAAACTGACACATCAAGCATTAAATCCAACATAGTAACAAGCTAACGATAAAATCCACATAAAGCATTTGATAAAAATTCTGATTTAAAAATAAAATATTTTTGTGATAGCATGGCTCTTACACCCATGAATTCAGCACAAAACTTGTATAAGACTAGGAATGGGAGACATGCATAGGGAGAGGCAAATGGGCAGAAGATTCATAAGGCACAATACATTATGGTGAACATAGGCTTTTATAAATTCTTCCAACTTCGGAGGGAATAGCCTGACACAAAGACACCTGAGGGGAAAGAGTACTCCCTTGGCTTATACTGCCAGAGTACAGAGGCAGGAGCTTGAGACAATTGGTTGTATCACATCTACAAGAAAGAGCAGAGAGAAACAGATGTACTCACACTGCCTGATTGCTTGGTTGTGCTTACACCCAGCTAGCTTCCTTACTCTTGTACAATTTAAGGCCCAGCCGTGGGAAAGGTATCACCCATAATGGGCAAGGTTTTCCTACAGCAATTAACAAAGTAATCTCTCACAAACAAACCCATAGACCAATCTTGTAAAGACAATTAGCTCAACTGAGACTCTCTTTTCAGGAGAGTCTAGTTGCCCTGAAAATGCCCTCGAAGATCTGCCATCTCAGAGGTGTGTCCCCTGTGTAATTCAATATCCTCTCAACCTGACAGTGAAGGTTAATTACCAGCATGTGGGTGTGATACATTCAAATGAGAATGGCCCCATAGGCCATTGTTTGTATGAATACTTGGTCCATACTTGGTAGAAATGTTTGGAAAGGACTATAGAGGAGGAGAGCCACTGAGAGAAGGCTGGAGGTTTCAGAAGATTCTCGCCCTTCCCAATGCACTCTCTGCCTCCTATTTAAGACTCAAGATAGGAGCTATCAGCCACTGTTCTAGCAGCTCACCACCCACTACTACTGCTCCCTCTTCATAGACGCTAACCCTCTGGACTATAAGCCCAAATAAACTCTTTCTTTTAGAAGTTGCCTTGGTCATGATATCTTATCATAGCAGCAGAAAGTAACTAATACAGCAATAAGTGGCAATACAGGTTCATCAATAATAATGAATGTACTACTCTGGTCGATCAGCAATAATAGAAAAGGGTTACATGTGTTGGGACAGGGAGTATATGGGAGATCACTTTCATCTTCAATCAGCTTTACTGCTGCTCTGAAAATACACAGAGATAACAGTAAAAGTCTTATCTGCATGCAGGGGGAAATGTAATATAATCAGAGAATTTGATATTTTATATGTAGCAATATTGAATACTACCAACAACACAAATATGACCTTATAATCTTTAGAATCATCTCTTGAATAATCTCAGTTCATACCATTCTCCATTACCGTATCTTACCCTCTGCATTAGCTTACCTTCCACACTGTCAGAACAGGAAGTGCCAATGCCAGTGTCTCCACTGTCAGAAGTTATACTGTGTCTCCTGATATGGTTATTTCGATGGCTAGATGGAACAGTTGTGGCCTGCCACAATGCTTCATTACCAGGTAACCATGCTGATGAATAATCTGCACCTGGGGGAAGGAAAAATACAAAATGAACACATGTCAAAGGATTTTTTTTAACCTTATAAAAATACGCATAGTATTAAAGAGGTTATTTTTGTCCAAAATAAAAACCAACAAGATGAAAATTCATCAGATAAACTGATGAGGGATGGCTACTGAGTGCTCATTCTACACCTTCTGACCACAGGACTGCTTTCTGCTTCTAGTTACTGAACTTTAAAAGATGGACTGCTAACTGCTTAAAATCATAATCCCAGTACTCAAGAGGCAGAGATACAAGCAGGCAGATATTACAGATCTCTTTGAGTTCAAAGCCAGTTTAATCTACATAACCAGTTCCAGGACAACCAGAAATACCTAGTGAGACCAGATCTCAAATTAGCCTCACCTGAATTAGCTGCTCAGAGAAATGGCTTCAGAATTTCCTTCAGCAATCTACAACTCCGTAAGTTGTACTTCTGACTTACTCAAACACAAAAACAGGCCACTATGAAGTGGATGAAGTCATCAACTGTTGTCTAAAATCATATAAAGAGTGTAAATAAACTTCAACACTCTTGTGTTGAAATAAAATAAAAATAAAAAATAGATAAAAAAGAAATATAAATCTAAAAAATACACGGATGGATGGGAAACTATTGTTTAAAAAAATCCAAGCTCTTTGATAAATAATTAATGTGGAATACAAAAGGCAACCTACCCAAGATACTAGGACAAAGAACAAAATATTCCCATATATTACTAAAGATAGTGTTAATGTCTGCACTACAAAAAGGTAAGAAGGAAAGGGGGGGGGGGAGTAAAGGAAAGCCAGGCAGGTGCTCTGCCAGGCAGGCAGATCTCTGTGAGTTCAAGGCCAGCCAAATCTACAGAGTAAGTTCCAGAACAGTAAAGGCAACACGGAGAGACCCTATTTAAAAAATAAATAAGTAAAAATAAAAAGAATAAAGTAAATAAACTTGAAATGGGCTAGCAATCTGAGGCAGGAGGATTGGAAGACAAGTTAGTAAGTTGCAAGCCAGCCTGGGGTATACAAGGAAACCATATAAGGGAACTGGGGGAGAACCTTTGAAAGTGTGTATCTAAAATCTAGAAAAGTGGACTCCTAGACAGAAGACAGCTCCTTAAAAACTATTTCCAATGAAAGGAATGGAACTTTGACTACTAAAATAATGTCCATGCAGGGGACCAGATGGTTTAGCAAGGAAAGGTGCTTGCCAGTGTACCTGACCCCTGAGTTTGGTCCCCCAGAAGCCAGAACCCACATGGTGGAAGAACCAGCTCTCAAAAGTTGTCATCTGACTTCCACACTTGCACTGGTTTGTGTGTACTCACACACATACACATGCACACACAATAAATAGGGAAACAAATGTAAAACACAATGTTACTAAGGATCTAAAATACTTACATTGTCAATTTAAACAGGATGAATTTGACAGGAAGTAAATTCACAACCTCAGGTTTCAGCCTGTCTAGGGATTCTCTGAACTCAGAACCCACAAATCACAATCACCAAACTCTGTACCTATTCCGGTAGGCAGGAAAACTGGTTGTGCAAAGCCACTGTGCCACTCCTTACTTCAATCTGATTATAGAATCAAATGAAGACAACACCAGGGGACTGGAAAGAAGCTCATCCAAACACTGCTGGCAATCTACTCCAGATGTCAAGACTGCTCACTGCCCTGACTTCCATGCTTTTACTTTATTTTGAATTACTATATTTTAACTTAGATTAGAAAAATGTCTTATTTCTTTAAAATGCTTACCGCTAACAAGACTAATAACTTAGTTATTTAAATTCCACTTAACTAAAGTCTTAGGATATTCTCTCCTAGAATAGAAATGAAATATTGGCCTCTTCTGAAATAAATGGATTACATCCTAACATAAATCAAACTACTGAAATTCATGTGTTTAGAAATACAAAATGCTAGTTTCCAGACACGGCATCATCATTGCATTCACAAACTCACAGACAGTATAGTTAGCTGCATAAGACCAACCAATAATTCTAGCATGGGGGGGGGGGTCATGAGGCTCTACCGCTAGCTGAGAGCTAAGGAGCTAATGGCAGTAAACGGTTACTGAGAGGTGAGAAGACTGTTTTCTTAGGGATGTGGCCACTGGTAGGTTGCCCATGTGCAGGCAGGTAGCACTAATTGGACTCAATAGGTTATAAAACAAAAAGGAAGATGACATGACGGTGGGAGAGGCACATGTTAGGGAGTATAGGGACAAGTGGGAGGGAACCCTGGAGGTGGATATGATCAATACATTTTATGCTATTAAATTGTTTACAATGTAAAATTGTATATGAATACACACAAAATAACCTGGAAACAAAAATGAAAAACATGAGGGACTGAGAAGATGCCTTGCTCAGTAAAGTACTTGCTCCATAGCATGTGGGCCTGAATTCAATCCCAGCACCCACCCAACAGTCAGATAAAATCCCCACCGCAGGGGGAGATAGAGACTAGAAGGATGCTGGGCCTTTCTGACTCCTCTATCACAGAGATAGAAACACTGCTTTACAGTTTTAAAAATCTAATGACCCTACACACTGGAATAGAAGACCTTATGTTCTATTTTTCAATACTAAGTTCACCTCCTGGGAAAAATAGTATTTCTCAAACTGGAAATACAGGAAACTGGGCATCAGAAGAGTCACCTACTATATTTTATTTCCCGTAGTGTGTCTGAAGCACAAATGTGTTAGCATCAAGTCTTCCATAAAGAATAACCATACCTATAACTACACTTAGGATAACAACGAGTTTTCTCATCTAATGACAACACTAAGCTATAGAAAACAAACACAGCTCATGATAAAGCAAATATACAAGTTTTCATTAAAAGGTGGATATGCAGCATAAATGATAAATACAAATGACAGTCATTTGTGGGCAGAGGGGTGCCTCATTATCCCAGGCTTGCCTGGGACTCTCTATGCAACTGAGAATGGCCTTGAGCTCTTTGAATTCTTAATCCTCCTGCTTCCACCTCCACCACAGTATTTTTCAAAATGTATGTTGCTAGCCATTAATGGATCTTAAAATCAATTTAGACACCAATATTTTTAACCAAAATAGAACAAAATTGAAAATATCAAAGTACACTAATCCTTATACCACAAAAGCGTAAATATCTTACATTTTTGAATTATTAAAAAAAAAATAGCATTTTGTCACAGAGTTCAGGCTAGCCTTCAATTCCCTTAACTCTCCTGTTGATGCAACAGAAATCAATGTATGGCATGGGTTCAAGATTAAGCCCCCCCACCCCAATAACCCATACAGCCAACCAATCTGAAACACTTTGTGGTATTTCTGAATAGTGACTGCAGTACACCTATCACCTCCACTGCTGTCACAGATCACACTTTGCAGCTGGAGAGCTGTAATCAGCCCCAGGAAGCTCTGCTCCTGATAGAGTAACTGCCAAACCAGCCACTACCCATCTATCAAAATTCCCTCTGAATCAGGTGTGTTTCTGTCATGCTCCTGCTAACACAATCTATGGTCCCTGATGGCACAGCAAGAAAACTCAAACTCACATTCAGGAATTCTTCACCAACTGGAAATCTCCCACTAACTCTGAAGCTCCAACTTCCCTCACCATCTAGCTCTCCAACAAACTAGAACAGCTAGGCACACTCACCTCTTCTCCACACAGAACAGTCTATTCTGTAACTCCAACTGCTTCCCTCTTGAATTTTTTAAAGGACTTACTTGCTCTTTCTTCCTGGTTCTTCCATTAGCATTAAATGACTACTGCTTTGTTCATTTCCAAACTGTGGTTTAAATTCTCTCACAGCATTTACCGAAATGTATTAACTCATACATGACTTTCTTCTACTTCACCAAACTGGAAAGTAAAGAACAAACTTTTTATCTAAGTGTCCCAGACTAGTCCCAGAGCTGTACACTCAGGCAGTGTCAACAAATGAAGTCATTGTGAGCATTGGATATCCAATAAATATTCACTGAATAAAATTAGAATTTTGGAAGCCTTACAATTAGACCTACAAAAATAACCTTCACTTTAGAAGAAGGATTAAAACAAGAACTTTGTTGGGAAGTTCTGTTTACTTTAAAATCCAAGATATTTTCAACTATCCCTTGACCCAGTATGCATTTGCATATCTATTTAAAGACCAGTAAATATTGGCAAAGTAGCTTTAAAAAGTACTTTAAAACAGTTAAAGAGCTGGTGGTCAAAAATCTTAAGAATGTGAGAAAGTAGTCTCAAATAGGTCAAAAGACACAAAAAGTCTCTTCCACACAGAAAAACACTAAACCATATAGAAAAACATTCTTAATATAGGTGAGGGAAAGTAAGTTTTCCTTAAGGGTGTGGATACTGGCAGGTCAATGCTGCCCCAGTGGAGAGACCCACACCCAAACAGGCAGCACAAATGGACTCAGTAAACTAGTTTTAAAAAGAAAAAAAACACAGTTAGGAGAGGAGTGTTTGGGGGGGGTGGGGGGGGTAGGTAGGGAGTTAGTCGGCACTGGATCTGGGAGGAGAGTTAAGGAAACAAAAGATGAATATGATCAAAATACACTATGAGCACATATGAAATGTTCAAAGAATTAATGCAAATATATTTTTTAGATACTTATGAGGGCTTAAGAGTTAAAAGCACTTGCTTCTTGCAGAAGACCCAAGTTCATTTCCCAGCACCCATCTCAAGAAGCTCATAGTCTCCTCTAACTCCAGAGAACCCCATGCCTCTGGCCTCCTCAGAAACCTGCACTCATATGCATGTACCTGCATATACACACACATAGAAAATTAGTATCTTTAAAACTGTCAGAGAAAATGGACAGGCAAAGAGGGGAAGGGTCAGTAAGAGGCTGTGTTCCTCCGATCACAAAGAGATCAAATAACTAGTGCAGATATGAACTGTGACTGGGGGTCAAATTCTAGGTCAGAGAAAAGAACTAAGAGTAAAACAAGATCAATTCTAGAATGTGAATTAAAGCAGTCCTTGAAGATAAATCGAGAAGCATCCAATTACTAAGTGGTCTGTTCATATTAAGCACATTAGCCAGTCAGAAAGTGACTGCA